CCTGAGGCCTCAGTCCCCTCCCTCTGAATGTCTACCCACAGGTGGAACTGGGTTAGCCACACTGCCTAGTAGGCCAGTGGTCTCATCACTCACTTTCTTAGTAGGATCAACCTGGCTTTCCAGGAAGAATCCCCTACATTAAAGCTGGGGATCTCAGTTCGATACTCTCAGCCACCGGGTATGCAACAGGGACATTTCAGCTCCGAGCATGTCAGTATCCTATAGAACCCTCTGTAACATGTAATACTTTGCATCAGATGATGCTCCATGGACTATACCAGCAGTATTAAAAGTCCTGCTAGGGGCAAGCAGATAGTGTAGTGGTTACATCGCTGGACTCCCACATGACTGACCACAGTTCAAGTCCCAGACCGGGTGGCTTGAAAATCATACCAGGCACGTATGCGTGCATGCCCAAGATCCCAGAAGGAGAGTAGAGGAGAAGGATTCATCATGGTCATCCCCTTGGGGGATGATTTCTCATTTTCTCTCTCACTGTCTCTGCCTCTCTCTTTGGTAAGTGCACATGCCCTATAACAAAAACCTCTTAAAAAGAAAAAAAAAGTCCTACTAGATGGCCTTCAGTGACCTTCTGCATGGCAGGTAATGTGGAAGTTCCAGCCAGCTGGTGATATGAGTGCCACCTTCTGTCCTAGCAGCAGATTTCCAGGGGGCCCAGGAGTTTTTCTTGTTGGGAACCTGATTTCTGACTACACTGGACCCTTTACCCTTACAGTTCAGTTCCGGAGTGTTCTCCCCTTTCCGAGGTAGGTTTGTCCCTCTGCTATAGATTTCCAGCCATTTCTTTTTCATTGTTAAACATGAACAGAGGAGTCTAAGTTTGTTTTGTTTTGTTTTTAAGAGAGATTTGTGCACACTCACCAGAGAGACAGAAAGACAGAAAGACAGAAAGACATCCCCTCCCCACCCCCCACCCTCCGGGGCGGGGGAATGGCCATGTCACAATCCCTTCTCCATTCTCTTCTTGGGATTTTGGGCGTGTGCGCGCGCACACACACACACACACACACACACACGCCCAGTGTGAGTTTTAAGCCGCCAGGTCTAGCACTTGAACCATAGTCAACTACATGGGAGTCCAGTGACGTAAATGTTACGCCATCTGCTGGTCTCCTAAGTTTTGGTTTTATAGGGATGGTTGATGAGACTTCCTGAGATTGCATTCCTAGTCTTTAATGCACGGCTTGTAACTTCACACACGAAGCCTATTGTGTATTGTAAAGTTTCAATTCAGATGTGAGGATAAACCCTGAAGGTCTTGTAAATAAGTGAAGAGGGGTAGAGGATAGTAGGGAGTGGTGCGGAACATGGCAAAATGGAGAATATACACCTTGTCTCAACTGAGTGACCGACTCTGCTCTGGCTGAGTATCCCTGTGCAGAAATGTCGCCAGGACACGTGAAATCTCAAAGGTAGCTAGAAATGGGGATATTTTAAGTATGAGATCTCTCAAGTTTTAAATGTCAGTAACTAAATAAAAATGTTCTAAAACTACCATATCTGTTGAAAGAGAGAAGATACAGCCTAGGGTTAGATGTGGCCTTTGAGTTAGGTTTCCAACCTCATAATAATAGAATAAATCTGAGATTGTTTTTTTTTTTTAATTTTTTGTTTGTTTGTTTTTTGGGGATTTATTTATTTATTTTTGAGAGATTTTCGCTATAGGGTATGTGAGCTTGCTGGGGAGACAGAGTGAGACTGTGAGACAGAAAGCAAGAAATCACCCCCTGGTGGGATGATCACACTGCAATCCCTTCTCCTCCATTCTCTTGGGATTTTGGGCACACATGTACACACACCTGGTGTGAATTTCAAGTTTCCAGATCTGGGACTCAAACCATGGTTGGCCATGTGGGAGTCCAGCACCTTAACCACTATGCCACCTGCTGGCCCTGAGATCTGAGATTTTTAAGCAACTTAGTTTGTAGCTGCTAAGCATAGACATTTGTTCTCACCTGAGCTGGTACCTTTTATTGCATCTAGTGGCAGAAGAAGAGCTTACATTCAAAAAAGCAATTGCTATACCAAGAGGCTGTCTTATAGAACAAAGCACTGATAGCCTTTTTCCAAGGACCTTTAGGACTTCTTGGTAACCACCTTCCCATGACCTTGACAGGGCCACCACACAGGCAGGAAATACAATGAGAGATGTGTGTCTATGAAAGAGCTTTTCTCCCACACAATGTGTTCCTTTCTGCCTTGTTCACACGGTAGCCCCAGGGACGGTCTGGGAAGAGAGCTTTCCTGGGTACCATGCTTGGCTTCTCAGGGGTATTCTCAGAAGACTTGCTTTTCTCTCTAGATGCATTACTCCCTCTCGTTTACGAGACCATTTTCATCCTTCCTTGGCTAGCCTCTAGAAGTAACATCAAAACGAAGGAGTCAGTGTCTAGGCAGAGTTTGGCATGCCTTGCTTATAAGGTCCCAGTACTTTCCAAGTGCTATGGTGAGGGTTGTAGCTGTCAAAGGTAGGGAGTACAGACAATGACATCACCTTGGGAGAGAGACCTCCAGGGCTCGTCTGGAGAAGGGAGTAGTGGGCATGGGACTGTATATCTCTGCCATTAGGGGAGTTATTAGTGACAGAAGTCCAGAGCTTGCTGAAGGGGCTGGATGTATAGCTTTGCCTTCCCTAGGGAATGTCTCTATTCCTCTTTCCTTCACCTCCTTTGCCTAGATAGAGGTTTCCAACAAATGGAAACCACATTGCAAAGTAGTTCATTACAAGGACTTGGGAGTTAGGAAGAGCTGGGCTTGAATTCAGGCTCTGTCATAAAGAGAACGTGGGGTTGGCTTCTCTTGTTATGGAGGCAGTTTTCTCTCTTGTCAAATGGAGTTCATCTCCCCCTCTTAAGGATGCTAGAGGATCATGGACTAATTGTAGGCAGTGTGCGTCACTGTCACTTACCTCTATAGCTCTTTGGGCTCCAGGGTGATCGGTGGTATGTCTGACAGCAGGATTGTTACAGCCAGGCATTGCTAGGGAGATCCCTTCTTCATCCCTTGCCTTACCTTGCAGCATGGTTCAGAAATGTCATCCCTTTTGACACCCTTGGGAAAAGGTGGGATGGTCATGGCGAGGATGCCATGCTGAGTAGCCTCCCACCTGAGTAGCCATGTCTCTGGTTTCCCATGAGTAAGCCATCCACAACCTCAGCATGAGGACTCTGGTATATTTCAGCCCATCCCAGACTATAGAGTGCTAAGCGTCACTGTGACGCAGCACCCTTAAGGTGATAAACAGATACTTGGAAGAGAGAATGTTTGAAACTAATCCAGTGGAGCTCTGTTTGGTAGTGGGTCTTTTTATCAAGGCTGTACCATGAAGCACTTTATAGAGTTCGATTATAATGTTGTCATGTCAGAGAGCGAAGGAAGAAGCAGAGACAGGGAGGCCTTTGAGAACCCAAAGTGTACTGGAGATGGCGGACAGAAGGTGCAGGGAAATTTTTCTCACTGGCAGGGACTAGAAAGCCAGTAGAATCCCAAAGCCAAATGTAGGGATGAAACCCCAGGAAGGGCAAAATGATTAGTCTGAAAGGTTATCAGAAAAGCAGAGAGGTTTTAGAACTTTAGGCGCCCTTTGGCGTCACACAACCATGAGAACTGGCCTTTTCTTGCTGCAGTGAATATAAAGGACTTGCCTGGAAAGATTTAACCTGCTCTTGGCTCAGTGGGATCAGCCCTAACACTTCTCAACCAATCCTATGGGTGCTCAGCGCCCCTTCTCCCCTGACGTCTTCCTTTACAGCCTCTTCCCAGTCCTAAAATGATCCCAGAGTCTCTGGCTTGCTTCTCAGGAAACGTATCCTTAGACAATCCCTGAAGACCAGGCTCTGTTCTGAATTACAGGGGCCTGCAAGTACCTTTGTGCTGGATGTCTTTGGGGAAAGCTGTTGACAGATGGAGGAAAAGGGTAGCCATGGCGGTCCATGGGCCGCTAGTGGGCAAGGCTTTCTTTGTGTGTGTACCTGCCCGTCGTAGCTCCTCTTGTATATCCATTTCCCAGTACCCATTGTGGTCCTGGTCTTCCCTACCCTTCCCCCAGAAAATGCCTTTTCCTTCCTGCTCTGGGGTTGTTCCGAGGAAGAGGGGGAGGAATGGAGGATTTTGGAGCCGTGCCTCTTATGCTATCAGGCTTCGGCTTTTAGAATCTTGGAAAGGCTCCACCTGGGAGAGAGTTCCAGAGAAAACAAACTTCAGATCCCAGCTCATATGGGAAAAGGCTCATGCGCACGAAAGCAGCTTCAGGGACCTTGGCAGAGACTTAGGCGGGGCTGGCTGTGGTCCTTAATGGATCGGACATGGAGCCTTCTCGGACCCATGGGTGCTGCATGGCCTCCAGTGAAGAGGCGCTTCCAGGAGCTAAATGACATCCCTTTCATAGGAGTTGCAGTCCTCGGGTCTCCATTGTACAATAGCTCTGTTCTTCCAAAAGTTTATACCCTAACAAAGGCAAGAAAGGTTTTAAGGAACCAAACACCACCAGCCCCTCTCATCTCCTCATCATCTCCCCCTCCCCACCTTGTCATGTTCCTCCCCTCTTAGAGATTCACTGAACTTACTCTATAGGAGAAAGGAGTCAGCAAGCAGTCTTAGGTCCAACAAGGTCATCTCCCAAGTCATAAGAATCATCCTTCTAGACTCAAGAATAACAGGGGCGGGCACAATTTGGGGATGTTCAGGCCCAAGAAGGCAGATGCAGTGGGCAGGCGCCATGTGAGAAGGGTCAGAAGGAGTTGATGATGATGGTGAATTTTTCTTCCCTGATTCCGGCTTGTACCAGTTCTATAATGCCGCTGTACACTCTCAGAGGATCATGGACCTAGATCGTGTGCCTAAAACAAGCCAGGTACAGGAGCCAGAAACTCCTGGGTTCCTGTTTGTGGCTTGTGCACTTAAGACCATTTTCCCCCATGTTTTTATACTTGGGGCTCAATACTGATCATTAATCCCCTCGTGTCTGCCTCTTCTGCCAGGGGTCTTTTCAAACATAGACAATCATGGGATATTAAACTTGAAGGACAATAGAGATCATCTAGTCCCATCAACTCACTATATATATGAGGAGCCCGAGGTCCAGAGTGGGGATGTGTCTTATCCAAGGTCACATGGTGAGTTTCCTCCTTTGACATCTTTGTGTGCAGTAAAGGCCCCACCCCCTACCAAGCTTGGTCTTAAGACTTGAAGAGTCATCAACCCTCCCTGTGTCTCAGATCTGACTAGCAATCCAGTGTAGGATTGATACTAAAATCCCTTAGAGTAGAGGAGTCTCTTCTAGGGGAAGAAATGTCACAAGATCTAGAAGAGGAGTGGAAGAAGAAGTTAGACATGGGGGTCCATGGGCCTCTAGTGGGCAAGTGTGTATTTGCCCATCATCAGCCTTCCCATATATCCATTTCTCAGTGCTCACTGTGGTCCTGGTCTTCCAGGAAGAAGCAAGAGTGGGATCGTGGCCTGGAGAGAAACAGACCTCTCAGTCAGAAACTTCTCAGTTGCCTGCCCACTCCAATGGCCTTCCTTCTCTTACCCCGTAGGCCCTAGAGAGCCCTTCCTCAGGGTCACTACAAGGAAACTCTATCAGAAACATCTCATTTCAAAACTGAGCCTCCCTCTAAGCACAATGGCAAGGAAAGTTCCCTCTATCTTCACACATCAGACCCCACTCTCTGTAGAGGGAGGGGTCCCTACACTCAAACTAAGTCAACACTTTTGATCATAACACATTCTGGGCAGATTCAGGGGAAACCTTCAGTGAAATGAATCCTGTTTCAGTCTCTCCCCATCATGCCTTCAATACCCAGTGGCCCAATGCACCCTTCATATGCCTGCACATAGGTTTTATGAAAAGATAGGTTTGTTCTTTTTACGTATCTGCCCCCTCCCACTCCATTCCTTCAATACACACATACACACTTTTTATTTTTAAAGGGAAGGAGTTTTGCTATAGGGCACATGCACTCTCTGGAGCGACAGAGAAACAGAGAGAAAGAGAACTCACCCTCATGGGTGGATGGCCATGCTTCAATCCCTTCTCCATTTTTCTCTTGGGATTTTGAGCATTTCCACACATTAGTTTTAAGCCCCCAGGTCTGAGACTTGAACCACAGTCAACCATGTGGTAGTTCAGCACCTTTACCATTACGCCACATATTGCCCCCCCCTCCCCACTCCTTACAGACATGTTTTAAGTCTGGAGTTGATTGAACAACTTCTTTCTGCAGATTAGATCAGGAACACTCATTTATCTGGGCATCCTAGTTCTGTCCATGGCTGGAATTGGAACTGAGCCACCATGGATGTCCATGCTTGAGGCAGCCCGTGGCTTGTTGGCCACCAGTGTTACTTCTCCAGAGTGTTTGCATTTCCCACAAGACTTGGACTTATGGGAAGGCTAAGACCATCAGCCATCATTTCCTAAACTTTCCACTGATGTGGTGAGAGGAGGTGAAAAGGTCAATGAGGAAGAGCTTAGAGACTGAGAAGTTTAGTAACCCCACCTATGGGTGTGGTCAAAAGTGGTCTATGAACTTTTAGCTTGCAGAATTAGGAAAGCTTCTCTGATACTGAGTTGTCAGAAAAGTCATGCATATTTTTCTATGTTTTTCTCTGCAAAAAAAAAAAAAAAAATGCGTCGTGACTTTTCCAACAACCCAATGCCTAGAAAGAATGTAAATTCTGGGAAAGCACAGCCAGTTCCTGTCCCCTAGCTCTTTAGCGACTCTAGCATGTACTGTGCCCCTTCTCCCACCTCCCCATGATCAGGGGGCTTCTTCCCAAATGGGATAGAAGACTGAGACCCACATAGATGAGACTGCTCCTCCTTTTCTGTGACAACCCAAGGCCACACCCTCCCAAGAGTTTTTGCTCACTTCCCTTCCTCGGTTCAGTGGAGGCCGCAGCAAAATAGAGTGTTTCCAGTGTTTCTGACCATGCTTGGTTTTATGTTAATTCCCCCTCCTATCCTTCCCTTTCGTGACCATTTATTTGGCGATTTCCAATATATCTATATCCACATCTCTGATTCTTCCCTGTTCAAGCTCCCTCTCTATTTCCCCTCCTAATTTTGATCTTCTTTGGGGGTTTTGGTTTTTACTTTATTTTGCTTTTTTCTGTTTTTCTGTTTTTTTTTTCTTTTTGTTTTTTATAGGTTTCAGAGAAATTATGTTGAATCCAATAAGCCTTCCCGGACATTCCAAGCCTCTTAACCATGGCATCTATGTTGAGGATGTCAATGTTTATTTCAGCAAAGGACGTCATGGCTTTTAAAAAAAAACAAAAAACAAAAACTCCTTTTAAGCCTCCTTGTTCTGATGTCACCTTGGTAGGCTGGGCCCTCTGAGAGGTTGGAAGCTCTAGGCGTTGTTGTTTTTGGATTGGGGATGCTGAGTAGAAACTGCATGAGCCGCCGGTGCCCCCGCACCCTTTTCTACCACCAAGATGGGTGTTTGTCCCCATCCACCACTGGCAGGGCTGCCCCTTCCCTCCAATCATCACTGTGCTCCTTTTTTTCTGGCCTCTGAGGCAGCTCCTGCCACCACCTTTAGAGCCAATAAAAAAGTATTAAAAACCCGTGCACCAGGAGCCATCTTTTAAACACGCTAGCCATTTTCTTGCTTTACAAAAACAACCCAACCACCAGGAGAGAGCTTGATGAAGTCCAGCTTGCTCCAGCCTCACTTTTCCTGCTCGGAAGTGTGGGGTCCCCTGGCTCTCCCTAGGATACTGTGCTGTCCTCTTAGTGACCTCATCGCCCTGCAGCGTCCAGTGGGGAAGAGTCACGAGAGCACCTAAGCAGAGGCAGAGACGGCATGGCGCTGTAGGAGGAGGGGAGCCAGGTCCAAGTGTTGGCACCAGATTAGGTCTCAGACGAAAGAATGGAAGCTAATCACTTGTCTTTTTCTTTTTCTTTTTTTTTTTTTTTTTGGTGAAGAAAACCTTACTTTTTGGGGGGCACATTTGCCCCTACTTCCTCTTCTCTCGGGATCGGCTCAAGTTGAGTGCAATGTTAGAAAACTCCTTGGAAAGGAGAGTTACTCCAGGCTCCTCCTTGGCCCCTAGATCTGCCATTTTGATGAGCTTTGGCTGCAGAAGGTCTTGCCTGTGAATTGGCCATTCTCCTAGGACCACCAGGGACCAAGGGAAGCAGGGACCAAGGCCCTTTCTGCTAGTCCATGATCCTGGAATGGGCTCTCTTCCCCTATTTCCATTTATTCTTGACTCAGAACTTTTGGAACCCAATGGAATCACCATTTCAAGGTCAAGATGAACTGAAGGGGAAGAGAAGTAAAACTTGGCCTCCTCCAGCCCCTCTCATGGCACCAATGGAAGTGTCACCTGATCTCTGGTCAATATATGTGTTTACTTTGCTTGCTTTGACTCATGCCTTACTCCATGGCCACCCTCTCCTAAAGAGGGGGTTGTTTCCCCCATTTTCAACTTGATCCACTGGGGAGAGGGATGACTTTCCCTTGCTTTGATAGGAAAGGCATATTTGTAGGGCCTGAATCTCTCCCAGACTTGCTGATACTCAACTGTGTGTCTGGTTGGCCCCATTCTTCCAACTCATGGGGCCTCCAGTGTGCCAAGTCAGCATAGGCTGCCTACTGGGTGGTGGAGAGCATGGAGCAGGGAGCCTCCCATGAAGAGCTCTTGGGACAAAATGGTGGTGGTTTAATCCAGTAAGGTTCAAGGCAATGCATAGCAATAGAGTACAGTCTATGCCTTTGGCCAGTTTACTTGGGAGTTAAGATTCCCACTTAAGGGTTTTACTCCTTGGGTCCTATGGATGGTGTTTCTTCATGTCAGGTACCCAGCCTGATTCTGCAGATGCCTCCATGGGGTTTAAAGACATGGAGCTTTCCAAGGTCTTACCCAGTATCTGGGATAGCCTCCCAGGCACCTGTGTTTCCAGAGCATCTCCTGGGAACTCAGGTTCCTTCCAGGGCCTCAAGGTGCGTGTTCACCCAGCCCCTCCCAGCTCTCCTCATCCTGCTCCCATTGCTCCATGTCAATCAGTTCCCCATCACGTCCTATTGACCCCTGGGATCCAGGGCCTCCTCCTGAGTGTGGCTTTAAGGAGTAAGCTTGAGGATGATGTTTTTAATTATTGTAAATCATTACCTCATTTCCAGCCTCACAGGCTCCATCCATTCCAGCATCTTTTATTCTGCCATTTTCTTCACCTTGTGCTATGACAATGGGGCGTTGTGTTTCCACAGAGACTTATAGGAGTGTTCAGTGTATAGTTTCTTAATAAACACTTTATTTTCTAATGAAATGACTGGATCAGACTTCTTATTTGGAAATTTTGCAAGTAATATAAAAAACATAGACATTGTAGGCTGCCCACAGGATTTCTTTCCTATGTCACTATTACACTTTTAAAGAAGTCCCTTTCTCAGTTCTGTTTGCGAAGGTGTTTACAATCTGTTCCATTGGCTGCTTTCATTGAGACTCCTCCAGATAGGTTAGGTTCATACAGTGAAGTGTTTCCTCATCTCATTGAGAAGGAATTAGAAGCTTAGAGAGGTTAAACGATTCACATAAGGACACACAGCATGATAGGCGAAAGCAAGATTTAAACCTGATTCCTGCAAACACTACTTGGGTCACTGAAACCCTTACTCTCTTGCTGCCTGGAGGTCAGTTCTGTTGTCTGAGTTGCCAAGACTCACAGAGGTCTTCTATTCAGAGCTGATGTGTTAAGAGAGTCAGGGAATAGGGCTGGGGGATCCTTTGTAGTTGTGTACCAGCTACCTAGTGAGGTTTTCCTTGGGGTGGAGTGGTTTTCTATTTTCCCCATGGGTCATGGGAAATGATCTTGGTCAGAAAAAGATGGTACTCTAGGCTTACAGAGTACAATATATACAATAAATCAGTCATCTAGGAATGCCTCCTCCCTAATACACACTTCCACATACACCCTTAGGTCATCCAGATTATCATGGTAACTGTCATGAAGGCTCCCAGAGTGGGGAGGAAAAGAATCTTGGGGTCCTACTGAGAAAAGAATGCTTAGATGAACTGACACTGTTGAATCCTGGGTCCTGTCACAACCAGACAGGTGGAATGCCTTCTCAAATATATTGAGACAAATAAGTATCTTCATGGGTTTTGGGGGCTAGATACTTTTCCTGACTTTTTTCTGAAACTATGTGAATCAGGGTGGTTTAAAAGTCTCTTCCTATTAGGAGGGATGGACACTGTCTAGAGCTCTGTATGTCAGAAGATGGAGGAAACATGGAAAATAGGATCTTGGGGCAAGGTGGGTGGTTTCTGGGTGGATTTGCATTCTTCACCGGGTCACAGTAGCACTTATCAGAGCATTGGCTCTTGATAAATAAAGGTGAGACCAGTAAATAACATGGTGAGCTTATGTTGGAAGTTCGACAGGGAAGTGACCAGACTAGGTTGGTGCTTTTCTACGTAGCCTCATTTAACTTTGTCTTTTATTTATGTCCTGTTTGGTTTGAGTACTCCTACCCCAAATGGAAGCTCCTGTCCTCTTGAGTGACATGAATAGGGTGGCCCCAGCTCTTCACTCTTCTGTTCCAAGTGGCTCTAAGGAGTCAAGGTTGGAACAAGGGTTCCCCAAGGGTTGAGATTATCCTTGGAGCCTTGAAGGGATGTATGGGTTCCAGGCAAAACCTTGATTTTTAATATGGGAGAAATTTTTAGCTATATTTTGTTCCAGTCCCTAGAGCCTGTCAATGCATGGAAAATAAATAAAGAGTATAAACGGTTCCTGAAAAGAAGGGATATAACAGCACCCATAGGAGGAAGAGTCAGCATTTGCCATAGGAGAAGGGCTCTTCTTATATAGTGGCAACCTAGAGGAAAGAATGGGGATGTGGAGTTACGGAGAGGTTTGAGGGCAAGAAATGGAAGGAGTTCTCAGCTAGTGGCTTCTATTTTGTCTATAAAGCATAAGGAAAGACCTTATACTACAAGTCAGAAAATCTGGGCAGAGTTGAGGTCTGAAAGACATAGCAGTAGATGATAAAGAACACAGAAATGTTCCTAGTAGACTAAGGACTCAGCTGAGGCTAGAGAAGGATGTTAAATTTCTTGACCTCTGTAAAGCATGTTTCCTGTTGGTATTGAAGTCTCATGGCATTTACCCCAATGTCAGAACCTCTAGGGCAGGCAGAGCTTCCAAAACACATACCTGGAGTACAACTCAGTCCAGAATGTTGCCGGCTGGTATTGACTTTAGTTCATGGGAACCCAGAAGACCAATAAGGGTTGTAGCACTCTGATCTTCTGGGTTTTTCTGGGTTAGAATCTCACCATCAGGATTGTACAGTGGCTTTTTGGACTTTAGCTTACATTTCAGTCCTATAGGATTTTACTGCAGCGGTTCACAGCCAACATAATCCATGAGCATGGTACACTTGCCAGGTGCCCTTGGGATCTTCATTCTGGAGGGATAGTTGAGGGGTGCTGGATAGTAAAGCTCATAGAGTGATCTTGTAGAGCATCTTTATGGTCTTGTAGAGCAGTGAATTCAGCATAGTGCCTTGGAGAGGCCACAAGTCTTTTGCTGGAGTTAATTGGCTAGATCCTGGAACTTGTTGCCAAACCAAAGCATAGGCTCACCACGGAGCAATAATAATGATTGCTATGTCTGTCTCATGAGGCACTTAACTTAGAGCCAGATGCATTTTAACCACAAGGAAGCCAAGATACAAAAAGATTCAGTAACCAGCCCTGGTGTTCACAGCTCAAAACTATCAGAACCAAGTGGACAATCAGTACTCTGCCTGACTGCAGAGGACTCTTGGCCATCAGCTGCCCATAAAGTGACCCATCTCCTGTTCCTGGAAGGTTGCAGTCCTAGGGACCCCACAGTCATAGCTCCTAATCCCACTTTTGAGAAAAAGAAGTATTTTCAGTGGCTTTGGGGGCTAGGTAGTTTCCCTAACTTTTTTTCTGGAACTATCTGAACCAGGTGATTTTAAAGACTTCTTAGAAAAGAATGTCTGCAATGTTCTTTCCTCATTCACGTCTAGCATTTAGTGACCCTGAAAGAGTGGCTAGTCTTGGATCTAATGCTAATCACCTGTTTTGTAGTTGGCAAGATGCCCAGACAATGATGGCATTTTTGTTGTTGGAGAGGACTTTTTGGGTGACAGCAATTGGATCCTCAGGGTGGTGATTTTGGCTGCCTGGGTCTGGGCAAGTGGAAGCAATTTCAGATGGGAAGGTAGTGGAAGAAAGCTCCTTGGCTGGCTACACATATCCATCTGCCTTTTCTTCACTTCACCTCAGAGACCTATGGGTGTGTGAAGCCTCAGCCATACTTTTGATTCCCACCCAAGCAAGGAACAGACACGAATCAAGTTCACTGTGGAAATTGACCTTACCTCCTTGTCTCGTCTCTCTTGTGTGGGAATTCCTTTAGGCAGCCACGCTCCCAGCTACATCTTCACCTCTACCTCCCCAGCCACAGGTGTGACCACAGCACAGTGCTGGGCTGTGACACCTCCCCTGGCTCAGTCCATTTCCTTTAGGTCAAACCTAAGCATGAGCAAAGGATCAAGCTTCTCAGATACAATAGTGAGGTAACGAGGGAGGGTTTGATGCCACAGAGAAAGCACAGAGCAGGCAGATCAGTGCAGGAGGACTTCACTGTCGTATAGCTTTCTGAACCAAGCCAGACACAGATTAAGCAAAGAGCTGAACGCTCCTTTCTTCACTGTTTCTTAACTCCTGTGCTCCAGCTAGACACTCACATGTTGCTGCCAGCATGACTCTGAAAGCATGAGGATGGCAGTGAGGACGAGTGAGGTGGCAGACGGGTGACATGGGCTGCTCTGTGGGTTCTCTTGGGAGGACCCAGGAAAATCTCTTAAGCATGACAGTGAAGGAGACAGGGAAACAGCCAGGATGGCAGAGATCTTAGGGAGCCCAGTTTGCATCTGAATTGTCCAGCAAGAGCCTAGAGGTCGCCTCCCCTTCTCTAGCCCACCCACCACATTCACACTCTGATGCTGGCTGGTGTGGGTGAAGCTGCTTGCTTGCAGCACTTGGTTTCCTTCCAGAGCTCTGGTTTTGTATTTTGCCTTTGGAATCCTACTGTGAGCACCCTCTGTACCTCCCACCTCCCAGGAAAGTCTCAGCCTAGATCTGATATTACTATGTTCAGAACTAAATAAATAAGACTCCTTCAACCCTACCTGAACCCAACAGTGAGTTGAAGGTGTACTAGCAAGAGATCGGGGCGGGGGGGGAATCCCTTATCTGCTCTCTTGGGTGACTTGGAAATTCCATCAGGATGCTGAGGCCCATTTGAGTAGGGATTTAGTTCCACTTCTTCCAATTCAGTGGATAAAATGTGACCCTCAGATTCCCTTGGGATTAAAACTTTGCATGCTCAGAGAGGAGCTTGCTGCATGGGTGATACGGTCTAAGATTTCTTTGTATTTTTGTCCCTTTCCACCTGGACACTTTTCCTCTCCTGGGTGTGTGCTGAGAGGGGTATATCATCTTTCCTGTGGTCCTTGACATTCAGGTGGATGTGCCTGCACTGCTTAAACGTCCTCTGTTTCTGTGTGGGAGATAGTGAGAAATGGGGAGGAGGAGGCAGGCCATGGGGCTAAGCCTACTGGAAGGAACACTTGACATTGAAAGAAGGAAACAAAGGCAGGAGAATTTCTGTGGGACACAGATCCAGGGACATAGAGGATAATGATGGCACAGATTTGGTTAGGGACTTCCAGGAGCGTCCTCTTTGGGAAGGAACTTGGGACTCTTCGGGCTAGAGGGAGAAAAAGGCAGGATGACAAATTTGCAGAGAACAGCCTGTAGAGAAATCCTAGCTGAAGCCTGTGTGGGACTTTCAAGCATTTAAAATAGGAGTTGTGTGAGCTTCCCATGCCGAGCCAGGGGCACCTTGGGTGATTCAGGGTCACTGTGTTCCCATGACTCTCTGCTAATGGGAGTCACTCAAGACCTCGCTGATGTAGATGGACTTGATTCTGAATCGGGTAAGGGAGGAGACTGGGGCATGTGGCAATAAAAAAAGAAGAGTGAAGGTTGACTTTTCTGAGGGCTAAAACCATTGGCAGTTGTCAATTCACCCTCTGTCTCAATACAATGTCAAGTAACAACCAAGAGTTCAGGGGGTAGTCAGAACTGCTGCTCAGCCATGGAGAGAGTTCGAAGACCAAGGTGTGAGGCCGCCCAGAGCTATGCATTCCGGAAGTGCAATCC